GCAGATGTTTTATGTAGCAAATAAATAAATAACATCTAAAAGTGAGACCATTCTGTTTTTGTTTTAAATCCTGAAATTAATCTAAATCAAATAAAAAATAACTGCCCGTGCAGATGGTGATTAAAATGCAGTGGTTGCCTCTAATTTCAAATGGCTAGATATTTTTGTTTAAAGCCAGTTTGTTTGTTATAAAGCAAATAGCCAATAAATAAATTTGCTTTAAAATCAGTATCAGTATCCAATCTGCTAGTTAAAAAAAAAAAAGAAAGACTCTGAATTCTGAATCAGCTATGACCGGCGCATCACTAATTAAAATACTAAGTAAAAGGCCTCAAATTTGAAGTACAATCTGGGATGTCTTTTTCTATCAATTCTTCAATAGGTAGATCTTATCTTTCATAAAGGCCGAGGTCAGGGATCTTGGGCCTAAAAAGGTTGGTGACCACTGCTCTAGGGTCTTCATGAAAAGTATACAACATACTTGGTTCAAATTTCTCAATGGTAGTGTAAAACAACACCCTTTTTACCCTGTTAAAAACACGTATTAAAAAGTATTAAAATTATATTTATGATAAATATTTCATATCATTATATTAATTTATTATCTATTCATATATTTTATTATATTTTTATAATACAAAAAAAATGACAAACAAAATTACTAAAACAAACTAGGGTTAAAATGAAAACATAACACATATAAATACGACTAGAATAACACCGTTAACTAATAAAACTAATTACAGGCCAGTCTTAAAACACGGACGGTGTGCTTGTTTATGTGTATACATGTGTGTCATTAGATGTAAATGTTTAATTGTGCTTGTGCCATGAATATAAAAGACTTTAATGAGAGCGCAGGAGCTGATTGAGTCCTCTGGGGCCGTTTTAGACTCATTCTGTATAATTGAGCGACCGTCTAAAGGCTTCATCGCTGATGTGTGTTGTTTCTGATGAGAAACCTTCGACAATTATAGTCAAATATTAATTTACTGACCTTTCCCGCTGTTAACTGCACAGAATGGTTTAAAATGAGTAGGTGAAGAGTGTATAAATGGATCATAATTACAGTTTGTGTGTGTGTGTGTTTCATACATTGATGAGGAAAGTTTTGCTGTTGAGCAGGTTGGAGAACTGGTTCAGTGCCTGGGTGACCGTAGCCCTGCGGGATTCTGGGATATCCAGTTTGCCGGTGATCATGACGTCGTTGGCGCCATCCTTCGAGGGCAGGAAGAAGACGCGGTCTGTGTAGGTCTTGTAGTCCAGGAACGGGATCCGGCCCTCGCTGATGTCGTTGGTGTGGTCCTCCATTTCAATCATCAGATCTTTAGAGGAAACGACAGGTTCAACGTTAATGACGTGTTCAGATCCATGTCAACTTATCCAGACAGTTCGGAGATTTAGTTTTAAAGACTAGGTTGAGAATTAAAGACCAGATTAATATCCTAGAATACGTATCATTAGTACAGATCAAAATTTCATTAGTACGTGTTAAAACCACATTTCTGGGCAAAATGTGAGGCAACACGGCAAATACTGTTGATGAATAAATATAAGAAGCAATAAATACATAAATAAATATATGTGAATGGACAGATAAGCGACTGTCAATTAAAAAATATCTGGAAAGATAGGAAAACAATAGATTCATTGATAAATAAACAGGTGGATGGATGAATGAATGAATGAAAAAATGAATGAACAAATGTATGGACAGATAGATAACAAATGAACAAATAGATAATAAATGAAAAATAGGTGGAGAGATATATAAAGACATAAACAGTAGATTAATAGATAATAAATAAATAATAGGTAAACAATGGATTAATTAAAAATAAAAAGTAACAAATATATGAATAAATAAATGGTTATCTGTCCATTCACATTTATTTATATATATAAATATATATATTTATTACTTTTATTACAACTGTCAATTAAAAAATATTTGGAAAGTTAGGAAAACATTAGATTAATTGATAAATAAACAGGTGGATAAATAAATAAATAAATGGATGGATAACAAATTAACAAATAGATAATAAATGAAAAAAAATAGGTGGAAAGAGATATAAATGTAGATTGATCGATAAATAAATAAAAAACAAACATACATACAAACAAATAAATAAATAATAGGTTGCTGAATGAATGAATAAATTATAAATTAATAAAAGATAAACAATGGATTATTTGAAAAATACAAAGAAATAAATACATAAATGTGAAAACACAGATAAATGACTGATAAAACAAAAAATAAGTAGAAAGATAAATAATAGATTAATTGATAAATATGTGAATAGAGAGAAAAACAAGTGATAAATAAATACCTGCAAAGATAATTAAAGAATGGATTAATTGAAAAACAAAGAAATAAATACATAAAAGTGAATGGACAGATGAATGACTAACAAATAAACAAACAAGTGGACGAACAGCTGACTTATAAACAAACAAACAAATGGGTGGCAAACAATTGATGAATAACTGAATAAATAGTAGCTGATAGCATGCTTTAGTCGAAAAAACTATTCAAAGAATTTACAGAAGCCATACACACTGAGACTGCCATATTCTAGTCCGATTAGTTGCCTCGTCAGTAAGCTGCCTGAACGAATAGTCGAGTAACATAAGCCAGTCGTCACTTTTCCATTGTAGACACAAAGAAAAGCTTTTTCCTATCTTAAATCATCTGTTGCCATGCTAAAAACACCCTATTGCCATGGTAACGGGATTATGTGTGCACATGTGACCTGTGAACTCTTTCTTGCAGCGGTCACGAACACTCTCCTCCAGATTCTCCAGCTGATGCTTCACTTTCTCGTACTCTCGCTCTGCCTGCTGGCTCTTCCTCCTACACACAGATGATCAGATGAATTCATTACATGAAACGTTCACTCAGACGAACAGCTCAAGGGCATGGTGGGAAGTGCAGTTCTTCTCTGTAACCTGTAGCAGACGACGGAGATGGCGATAATCAGCAGCATGGGAACAAGCACCGCCGGGATGATGATGGGCAGCGGGAGATTGTACTTCCTCTCGTACCGAACTGAGCCGACCAACCACTCGCCATTGCCAAACTTAATCTGAGTGAAGGAGAAACAGACTGTGTTAGGTGTGGACGGATGGATGAAAAAAAATGGATGGATAAACCGATGGGTGGATGGAGAAATGAATATATGAAAATGTGGATGATGGAAACAAACTAATAAAAAGGTGGAAAGATGATTATATAGATAGATAGATAGATACATAGATAGATAGATAGATAGATAGATAGATAGATAGATAGATAGATCAAACGAATAAATAAATAAGTGAATGAATGAATAGATAAACAGGTAGATGCATAGATAAAAGCACAGATGGATATATGATTATATAAATAAACAAATATAAATATGTGGATGAATGATGGATGGATGGATGGATGGATGGAGGGATAAGTAAAGTGGCGCATGGATAGACGTGATGGACTGGTGAATATATAAATAAATAAAACTAAATCTGATTTTTTTATGAAATATAAAAATGTATATTTAAAAAAATTAATAAGTGGATGGACAGATAAATGTATTAATGGATACATAAATAAACAAAACGCAAATTTAAAGAATAACATATAAAATAATATATATTTTTTATTTTAATATTTTTACTACATGCATATTTATTTGTAATTTAATTTTAGTTTAAAAATTACTATTTAGAAAAAATAAAGAACATAAAGAAACAAATAAATGGATGGATAGATGCATAGATAAATGGGTTTTTTGTCAAAAATGGTTAAATATAAATACATTGATAGATGATGAATGGATAAATAATTATATAAATAAACAAATATGAATAAATGATGGATGGATAAATAGATGAATAAGTGGACAGACAGATTAGTGATAGATGGACTGATGGACATAAATAATACATACATATATATATACACACACGCATTTATTTTTTCTGAAATGAAATATAAAAAAGGTATGTTCAATAACTATTTGTAAGAAATAAATAGAAACAAATAAATATGTGAATGAATGAATAAATAGGTGGCTTGAAGGATGGCAGAATGAATGGATGGATGTTATTGTCTCACCACCAGGTCCAGCGGGTTGGAGCCGGTGTCCCTCCTCTGTCTCTTGGATCGAGCACTGGGTACGGTCAACGGCGGGTCCAGGAATAATTTATCATCCTGTAACGTGTTTACGTTACACTGGGCGTCTCCCACAAACGCCTGCGCTTCTTTCGCCGTCATCGCTTTAGAAAAACCACGACCCTGAGACACAACAAAAACATGTTTACGAGCGTGAAAAACCCCTGTCTGAATGACATTTCGAGCAGATACTCACAGTCACGATGATCATGCTGTTTTCAGTGATAACGGTCTTGCTGAGGCTATCGAACGTGGGGTCGGGGTGATACTCAAACGGTGTCAGCTCGGTCTGGAGGTTATCGAGCTGCACATACGTCCTGAAGAACTGAGACTCGTTGACCGCAGGCGACATAAACTTGATCAAGGTGTCGTTTTTGAATGTGGACTGCTCTACAAACTGAGAAAATGAGAGACTGTGTTAACATCACTTCTCTAAATTGAGACAGCACGTCATATTCTGCCTACACTAAACACGTCCACTGTCCATGATGCTAGTCTAGTTCTAGTCTAGTGCAAGTGTAAGTCTTGTTATAATCACTGAAACTGCTAAATGAATCTCTATACATCATATCTACACTTTATTGTTTATGATGTAGTCTCATGTCCATTTTTGCACAATTTCGTCAAATTCGTTAACGTGCTTTATGAAAGTAGATTTTAGATAACTTTTTGCCAGAATACTCTAAAGACGAACTGAGCCAATTTTGTTGAAAATTGGACAAATCCTCTAGGAATTTTGCTTTTAGACCTTTCTAGTTCCAAAGGTTATTAGCAGAAACACAAGTGCCAATTTGTCCTGTTGGTGGCACTAGAGAGTTTGCGTTAGAGACTCCAAATTTGTTGTGGTTAATGATGAGACTGTTCTCTATCTGTGTACCAAATTACATAACTTTCCCACAAGCGGTTCTATAAGATTCATAACAATACGCTAAAGCATTCGTAAAATACAGCATTTTACTACAAAATTCTAAATTGTCCACATTCAAATTGGCTTGACATGGAAAAAAAGGGTATCGGTTGATTTGGTATACCGCCCTGAATCTAACAAGAACAATCTTATGATTTTTGGTCAAACTTTTCAGAAATTATAAACAAAAATGTCAATTTTTATATCTTTTGACCAGTAGGTGGCACTGTGCCAAAACTATTTTATATTTATATTTTAATGATATATATTTTATATATTATTTAATCTTTTTGCCAGCACTGTCTGAAGATGATCTGAGCCGATTTTGGTGAAAATCTCACAAACCGTCTAGGATGAGTTCGAAAAAGTAGATTTTTTGCAATATTCAAAATTACAAAAAATCTTAATCTTAGTATGCATTCGTCTTCAACAGGAAATCAGAGGAAAATTTATTTTGCTTCTAGACCTTATGTTTCAAAAGTTATTAGCAGAAATATGAGTGCAAATTTGGCCTATTGGTGGCGCTAGAGAGTTTGAGTTAGAGACTCCAAACTTGCCATGGTTAATGTTGAGACTGTCCTCTACGTGTGTGGAAAATTTCTCGCAAGCAGTTCTATGGGCTGCCAAAGACTTCCAGAGCAGAAGAAGATATAACGAAGACATAACAGACAGATCCCTCGGTGCTTGGCCCCTGATTACGCGAATCGACACTTTTCATAAATTTTTCACATTTCATTTTAATCGCATGAGCAGTAATATATTTAGTTAAATTGTGCAGGTGTAATTTTTGCCCCTTTATCTCGAAATTGTGGGGCATTTTTGTTCAATTTGGTGGCATTTTTTTCCAGAAGCCCTCGTTAATGTCCAACCATGACATGGACTGAAAGTCCTCAGACAGCAAAACAGAGGAACAGATTTCATTGCAGCTGGAAAATCTATTGATATTCTGAGAGGGAGCAGCAAAAGTCCCTAAAAGTGGGGGCGAAAAATCTGATAGATAGACAGACGGAGCAAGAGCGATGGATGCAGTGAGACCGCTTGAGAAAGGGCTGGAGTACAAAAGCTTCTCCTCAGATAAGAGAGATGAAATGAAGCGTTCATCAAGTTTTTCGTTAGATAAATGCTTGTTTAATCTCCGTCTCGTTGAGCACTTCGTATCGGAGCAGCTCTCATCGTTTCAATCAGAAGCCGAGCGATTCATGCAAGACGGAAACCCAACAGCGAGAGGAACAGATGAAACGAAAAACAAACAGCAAGTGATGTTTCCCTCGAGAGCCGCTGGAGATCAGTGTTTCTTGCTCTCACCTCTTCTGGGACGGTCTGTCTGGACCATTCTCCAGCCGACGCCACCACCCGGATAGAAGCCTTCTGGACCAGCTCAAATCCAGAACCCACCACCATGATTGTTCTGCCACCACTGAAATACACACACAGTCTTAACACAATATATATATTTTTTATTTTGTTTGATGTTACACTGCTGAAGGGCAGAGTATAGTAAAATCTTGTTATAAAATAAAACGATTATAATATAAAATAAAGAAATGATATTAATAAAAAAACGTTATTCTTCCACCAATCAATGTAGTTCCTCAGAAACAGTTGTGGTTGCAACAAAGTGGTTGCTGAACAACACAGAAGTAAACAAAGGAGTGTTTGTAGAGTAATTTACAACAGCTTAGAACGTGGCTCAACCAATCAGAATCAAGGACTGGAATTATCCGTTTTATAATAATCTTGTTTACATAATGTTGAGGTGTGCATCTATCTCTCTCTATATATTATACTACAATATAAATTTAATATTTTAAAATTATAAAGAATTATAAAATTAAATCTACAAAACTATTTGAACTATACTATATATATATATAAACAATATAAGTGTTATAGTTAATAATTTTATATATATATGTAGTCAACATTTTTTCATATCCTCCTGAGACCCAGCTATGGAGTTTTTGCTTCTGTAGTGGACATTATATTTGAGTGAATTTCTCTGAGACCTCACACGTCACAGTTGTAAGTCTGGATGTCCTGTACGGAGCACTTTCCAGATACACCAAATGATTGGATGTTTCACCGAGACCACTCCCTCTCCTTGGTTCTCCCATTATTACACGTCTTTTTTCAACATGCTGTCCCAACATCACTTTAATATGCAAATTGGATACAGTGTATAGATAACATTGTGCTTAATGGGAAAACCAGTTTATGGAATTTTTAGACACATTGCATAAAGCAAAATGGTATATCAAATCATTTTGTTATATATTTTATAACTTAATTATAACTTAAACAAAGTTAGTTACAAAAAAATCCTGAAACCTAAAAATTGATTGGTGATTTTAAAAAAAATCCCATTGTTTTTGCCTTTTCATGTCTACTCTTGTCATTTTACAGAGGACATAGCATAACTTATGAATAAAATATAATTTTTCAAAAGTGTTATTTTACCATTTTTTTCTTATGCTCTAAAAAATGTAATGACGTGAAAAAATACTAAATTCACAAAGCTTTTTATTTCTGGTTCTCAGGAGGATATATACATTTTTAATTCAATTGATCATTTACACATTTTCAAATACATATATATTGATATATATATATATATATATATATATATA